TAATTCCCATTTAACATCCAAACGGAAGTATCAGTTAGACGGAAAACACTCCTAACCGATAAAAGTGTCCGTGTATTCTCTTTCATCAAAACTTCTACATCCAAGGGAAAAGAACTACCAGTCAGTTGAGGACAGGAGTAAGAAGTGTAAAAAGACACTAATAAACAGAGAGCTGCAACCTGCTGAATAGTAAGAAAGATAACCTCATTGGAAAGTGTGTTTGCATGCAACAGGGGCACATAGGGCATAGGAAAAGGCAGAAAATATTGTCCTTTAGCCTGCAGAGCTCTGATGTGGTGGATGGCTGTTGCTTAGTGGTTTCAACACTGTGGCTAACAATCTGAAAAATACCCAATTCCTGAAGAGCAATACTTTCAAAGCACCTGTGCCTTCCAATGAAACCTGAGCCCGTTGTCCAAATAGCAATACTGGAAAACCTGAGATTGATCTCGTTCTGTTTTTCTCTGCAAAACCCTGAAGTGTTGTGGGTGAGAGCATCCCTTGTGACCAAACATGATCCTCAGCTCACCGCCGACACAGCGTGCTCCAGGAGACACTCACACCGAGCTTCCAGCCCCAACCACCCCTGGGCGACCGCTGCCAAAAGGGTCCCACGAGGCAGCAGGGGATAGGGGTCCTCTGGACAGCAGCTGAGATACTGATTGTCACTGATCCTCGGGAAATTAAAAACCAGACTCATAAACCTGCTGTGGTAACACTTCTGGAAATAGTCCGCTGTGTCCCCAGAGAGGTAAGTAAGTGCCCCGAGCTCATTAAAACTGCCTGACACACTGATCTCCAAGCAGGACCGTACCTGGGCTTGTTCATGAAGCCACGAAACCCCAGCTAAGGGAGATGCTCAAATTTTTCACATGGTCCTGGGAAAAGCAGGTTCCTCTAGGAACAGAAAGCTACTGTAGGGTGGCCTTTGCTTTGTAATATCATCTTTCAAAGTGGCTGGTGGTGAGCTGCCTCTTGGTATATCATTCCCCTTGAGGTTACAACCGGGATGATTAAGCATATTGCTTAGAAAACAGTCACCCATCTCTGTGAAAAGGAATATATATCGCTTTTTATGTATGAGCATTTCTTCATCTTTCTGATGGACTGAATTCTCATTTACTTGATTACAACAGTGAAGGTATGTAGAAAGACACTTTTACAGAGGGAACAGTTCGACAAGAGGAGACTGCAATCTCAAGGCAGTCTTATTGGAAATACATTAATTATTTAAGTAGTGACAACACAAATAACACTGCCTCATGACGAGAAAAAATGGGCCTAGGGACGTCGCACAAGGCAAATATCAGAAGGAATTACTGCAATTTGATTCCCCAAAAAAAACCTTAAAAATACTTATTTTCTTAGTTGGAAATTGACAGGATTTAATCTCTTTTTCACACACCTTGAGACATGCTACACACTGGGCTTGGCTTTTTTTTTTTCTTGTCTTACCACGGTGTTAGTAATATAATCTGTTTATTCAGAGGCCTCCTGCCTTCCCCCCACCTCAAGAATGGCAGCATAAAGAAACGTGCAAAAAATCTGAGGCATGACAGCCCGCTGCTCAACACTTACAACACTCTAGCTGCACTTCAGTATGCTGTTTACATAAAGCTGGGTAGCTCTCAAAACCTTCCTAATTACTTTCTTCTTTAATTTTCATTAAATTCAAGCAGAATTGTTGCAGCAGAAGTTAGTTATTGCTTCCTATATTGCAGTATCTTAGCCAGAACAGATTTGGGGTTGGTAGATCTGCCTGGTTTTAAGGCAGGTCATGGGAGAAAAGAAAAGATACTTCCCTCTGTAGTGTACAACAGATTGTATGGACAGGCTCTACTGGCAGTGTTTAAGAATAGCAGGATTCCCAACACTTCCACTGCTGCCTCAGCTGTGGAGTGGAGTGATGGGCAGATTTCTTCTTCCCAGCGTCCTCTTGGCAGGCAACATAGTCAAGACACACAGAACGTGGCTTTCATTTATCTTACTACAAGTTTTAAGGTATTTGGCAAAATTAGAGAATTCAGTACCTCACAGAGACTGCTGCATTCATATTCTGCCTGCTAATGTACTTATTTGCATCCCTGTTCATTTTTAATTGCAATTACAGCAATCTAATGAAGATTTTGAACAGATTATGAATTCCTTTAAAGACTGAAAGATTTGATAACATACCTACTTCTAATGATTAAACAAATCAACTTTCTGCCCATGTTAGAGTGGAAATTTGTGCTTTCCAAAACCAGAGAGGATTGGATTTGTGTCACACTGAACACATGTTCATTTGCTAAGGCCAAACTGGGCCATACGTAAGGGCTGCCTAGGCCAGGTTTCTCTCTGCGGCAGTGAGCAAAAGTGAGTGTGATACAAAGCATGTAAGAACAGGGTAAGAACACAAAACTTTTTGGCAGTTTCTAGCTAGCAGGATATCTCTCAGTTGGATGTGGTTTCTGCCTGTTTAGTAGCCTGGATTTCTCTCTTGGACTCGGTGAATCTCTCTGTGAGCCTGTATTGCTATATTGAGCCTGATGTGCTTTCAGCACATCTACAGCATCCTGCAGGAAGGAGTTCCAGAGCTCAATCACCTGTTGCATACAGAACCACCTCCTTTGGCTTGTTTTGAACCTGTTTGTTAGATTCCTCTGATTCACCTTAATTTCCGTACTGGAGAAAAAAAAATATCCAAGTGAATCAATACTGCCCTCCACCATGCAGTCACAGATATGTAGACCTCTCCCTTACACCCTCAATTGTCTAATTTACACTTCAGGCATTATACATGCTGACAAAATCTGACCTCGTTAGCAAACGTATTTTTCAAACCCAACCATATCTTATATCTATCTCTAATCTTAACTTGCCAGCCTTAAAACAAACCACACCTGTATACTTCATCAGTCCACATGGAAACTTGGCAGGAGTTACCAGTACTTTGTTTTCATCCCATGTTAGCCAAAACCCTGACTGCCAGACCAAACTTCATGCATTTCACAGCAACAATCCCAGATTTCCAAGATATTTTTGTTTGTTTGTTTTGTTTTGTTTTTAATCCCATTTGCTGTCACCAGCATTCCTCCTAGTCCCACAGACTTGGCGAAGTCTTGTAATACCTTCTCAAGCCTGTTGAAAACCAGGATATGCACAATAACCACATTTCCAGCTCAATGCAAATAAAAAGGCTTTTACTTGCAAGCAGCAACTCCCCCTTGTGCCCTGTGTAATCTACAGAGAGTTAGAGAAACAACTCCCTTGCTGCCCAGGCACTAACCCTGGTTTTAGAGATAGCTCAGGAATCGGTAACCACCCCGGGAGTCCCCTAGTCAATTCTGACCTTTCTTTTGGTTTCATGGAGTTTCTTCCTTCTGGCAATGAAGTGACATTTTCAGCCTCCAAGCAGAGGTCAATTTGAAGCCATTTGTCCTCACTAACCCCAGACTACATCCGGAATTGAAGGAAGTGCAGGACTTGGCACTAAGCTCCTCTCTTCCACACCTCAGCCTCCTAAATCCTAAAACAAACTGCAGTTAACACCCTAGCTTTGCATTTAGTGCTGTGTCCTAATTGCTGTCTCCAAACTCACTAAGAGCCTGTCACACCAACTTTTCACATCCTACTGCTTCACACACCCGTGACTGAAGAACATGTGCTGCTTAGCAGTTTCTCCTAGGCTGGAAGATAAGCAAAAACTCCCCTGATTCCCACGAAAACCTGGGTAAATGACTACACATATTATCACAGGCGTGGATACTCACAGTCTCCTCAAGCCTTGATGTCCTAGCACCTCACCTAGTGCCACCACCAACCCAGTGGCCAGTACACTGTATCAGATACAAATCCACCATCAGGCAGTATACTTAGTGACAGCACATCTTATCTTTGGTCCATGGAAATAAGAGGTTTGAAAATGAATCTTTCTTCAGCCTCTCTCTTCTGTATGCCTGATGTGAATGCCAGACCTGAACCTCAGCCTGCCTTTCCATCTGGCCAGACACACAGACCTTCCTGAAAACTAGGCCAATGTCATTCAACCTTGCTGGCTTCAGCTGACATCTGCTACAGTCACACAGAGTGGTGTAATGTTAGTTCTGCAGCAAACGTTTTGTCTCTGACCACGGTAAGATGCAGCCCCTATTCCCCTAACTAACAGCCAGCTCTATCCCCCATTCTTCCGAGAGCTCTCAGGTAGCAGTTACGGTTTGAGCAAAAAGGTGAGGAGGAAAAAACCTTGCTGCTGAGGTAAGGGCTATGGCCAGAGGATGGATCGTGGGCTGTTAGCATAGAGACAGTCACTACAGCACTGCCCACCTCACAGGAATCAGCACTCACCTGGGCGGCTCTAACTCTGCTTTTGCCCCAACTCCCCACACATTTTGCAAAAATTTGCCACCCAGAGCGGTCCAGAACCTTACACTGAAGTGTCATCCATAGAGAGGAATGTGTCCTCCCCTAGTTCTGTGAGACTGGTGAGAGAGCAATAGAGAACAGCCCTCTGGTCCCTGTTTCCTTATTTGCAGATGGATCCTGCAGGCTTAGCATGAAGACTGATGCTGCCAGTGTAGATGCACCTGCTCTGGGACAGTCAGTGGGTCATTGACTATTTTGAAGCCAAAGATTATTGCTTGGGTTCAGGAAAGAAGGAACTGCTTAGAAAGATTAGCTTGCCAGCACATGGATGCTACAGCCTTTGGATAACATGCAGTAATTTTTTGGCTGCAGCTCAGGGTAATGGCTGGGTTAAGGTTTGTGTTCAGGAAAACAAGAATTGGAACAGATTCTGCAGGCCCTACAGACATAGGATGAAGGCTCACGCCAGCAGACCACGGCTGTGGAGAACAGGAGCTGAAGGCCCAGCTTCTTTCTAGAGTCTAAAGACCCAGACAACAAGGACCTACTGAAGAGCCTCCTGCAGGTCAGTGTCCAGACCCACAGCAGGTACTGAACAGAGGCAACAGTTGTTCAGGCCTTGAAAACACAAATAGGTCTTAATGGCCCTGACCAACCAGGAGGACTTGGGACCTCCACTCACCGTGTGTTGCTCCAGCAGCCCTGGTGTTGGCTGGACGCTGTGGCCACACTGTAGCCTTGTCACCAGCCCTGCCTTTGGCGCCATCTCTTCACAGGATGCT